TGTATTTCAGTAGATTTTCAGTTTATTTATCAAATTGTATATTTATTTATTTTCATCTACCTGTCTGAATATTTGAGGAATCTTAGAAAAATATGCACTCTCCTGCAGGATTTGAACATGTGTTCTAGAGAAAGCAGTCACTAGATTTTACTAACAAAAAAAGAAATTGTAGTATAGACCTGAATTATAAAAAAAAAAAAAAAACTTTATTTATATAACATCTCTGTATCACTCTGCCAGAATCAAACAGGTCCTTTTCTTAGAAAGAAAAACATAATGGAGTTTGTAAAGAAACTATTTCTTAGACACAATGGCTGAGAACTGATAAGGTAAAAGACTTGAAAGCAAAATGGTTTTGTCTATCTTTGGCCTAAGAAATGTATGTATACATAGTATATTGTCTAGATTAATAGTGGACATTTCTCTTGATACCTAGCATCTTTTAACAGACTTAAGTTTGCTACTGTACTGTGTGATCTGCCAACTTCCCAGCGTATTCTCTAAGCTGACCAAATACATAACATTCTTAGTAGATACTTGATAATAGGCACAGTATTATAGATAAATCAAATTTACTTTCAAATGCTGGTCATCATTAGAGCAACTTGATTTTCAAACTGTGGTATTGCACACAATTTGGAAGTTGGACATGATAAATAATGACACAAAATATTTCTTTTCCAAACCATTACCATTTTTTTGAGGAAACAAGTTTAAAGATTAAGTTTAGGTTCTAAATTTTAGTGTTGGAATTTAATTCCAGTGATCAGTGAAAGCTTTATAGCACAGCCTTATAAAATGTATTATTTACTGAAGCTTTACAAACTGTTTATGACAAGATGCAAGGCATATGTTCATTATTACTAAATCATTGTACCATTAAATAAGACCCTCATTTACTATGAAGGGAAATTATACTGAACAATTTAGCTATATTATGATGTAATATATTATACAGTGAAGTAGTTTTAGTGCATTTTTCAATAAACATGTCTTATTTGTGTCCAGCATTATTATGGTGTTATATACACACTTATCTATTCTTTGTTTTTATTATTATCTAACAAATCTTATTCATTGAGTAGCCTTTTTTTGTAATCTTTTGTCATTTTTTACAGTTTTTACTTATTGAATACAGTAAAAAAAAAAAAAAATTGTATATTTTGCTTGTAGTGATTCATTTTTGGTTTGAATAGATTTTCCATTCAATGGATTTATTCTTGAAATAGTAAAATTATGAAGTCACTTTGTAAGTAAAGACCTATGGACATAGGTATTTCTGTACATTTTTTTCAGACAATCTTTAAAACTAAATGCTTAAAGATTGGTAAAAATTATGAATCTAATTTTTTCTAATGTTAGTATTTCTCACATCAGACCCCAGCTTTCAATGTTAAAAAAAAATAAATCAACCTGCTCTAGTCATCATATGCAAAGAAAAAACCCCATTACAAAAATCAATACAAAGCACCCAAGACCACATCAAGCAGAACTCTAATACTGACAAATTGAGTATAGCCTAAACACACCCATCTACTGTGTTTGGGAGGGGTGATGGCATTAATAAAACTTAATGAAAAAGAATTTAATTTCTTGCTGTTTATATAATCAGAATTTTCTGCTGGTACTGATTCAAATTATCTCTCTCTCTCTATATATTAGCTGGCCACTTGTATCTGAGTATGCCTGTCTACTAGGGTGGCTAGACAATCCCTGTCTCAGACGACTGCTATTACATTTCTTTTTTCAATAGCCACAGAGCCCACCTGTGGTTTATACTGCAACTATGCAGAGTGGACCTTAGGCACAGTTTCTGGGAGAAAGCTCATTATCTTGTGCGATCAACAGCCTGAACAAGGCCAGCACAATCAAATCCTCAGTCACAATGACTTGTAACCATTGACGGCTCCCAAATAGTTACATCTATCCAACTTCACTCACAACAGTTGGGCCAGTTGTCGTATGGTTTTCAGATACTTTAAAAAGGTACCACATACTACATAAAGAAGACATCTTCCTGACAAATCGACCATGGTGAGATCCAAACCTGGGTTTAATGGTCAGAGAGTGAACATTCTAACCACTTGACCATGTGCCCATATATTACATATATAATGATCACTTAGTCATTCCATAATGTTTTAGGTTGAGCAATCTTTTCTTTTGTTGTATGTATCACTTGTTTAATTGTTATATTTAGTGTAAAAGCTTTCAAATGCCTATCTGACTCCTTTATGAAGAGTGCAGAAAATTTTTCACCCTAATCCACTTCCCAAAATATGACCAAACATCAAATTGTTTTTAATGTCATTTTTCAAGCTAAGACTATTTTAGCACCAACCTTGTGTGTGTATATATATATATATATATAATCTTTTTCTCATAAGACAATATATAAAAAAAAATGGCCTTTTATTTATACTTTTTAACTTGTGAGCTTTTCCAGTTACTATACTAGAACTGTTTACGTTATTTACATGGAGACTATTGTCACCATCACAACATTTCGGTTGTTGTGTCTCCCAGACTTCATCAGGTGCTTGTCAATCCAGGTAACCTACATAGAAATTTGAACTGAACCCTCTTATTTAATCTACAAGAGTAGATTGTTCTTATGCTCATGTCTAGGGATATCTCATCTAGTTCTTATTTTTAGTACTGCCCAGCTATTGCTTGCTCTCTTTCCACTGAGTCCAAGTACACACTGCCCAGCGCAGGGATTGAACTCACAATTACTGTCACCAAATTCACAAACCAACATTTTAATCGACTAAGCTATTTTCCTGTCGGACAATTCTGAGTAAAGAACTTGGAGTCTTAAACCTAACCTGACTGCTGACGAGTGATGGGGTGAGCAATATGTACTTAATGGAAACAGGGCAAGTAATACTTGAGCAGTACTAAAAATAAGAACTAGATGAAATATCCCTGGGCATGGACAACAGAACAGGGACAAAATAAAGGGTTCAGTTCGAAATTACCAGATTACCCAGATCGACACACCCTTGATAAAGGATAGATAGTACAATGGCTGAAATGTGATAACAACAAAGATGCAGATAGTAGTTCATATGTAAATAATAGCTCCTCTTTCCAGTAATTATACTTGAATTGTTTCCGAGGTCTATCAGCTAAAATTGAATTCAATTACTTAACTAAATCTGAAGAAAGAAAAGAATATCATCAGCATTATTTAAGTACAAATGGATCTGTCTCATTATCATCTCCAACTAAAATTGATATATTTTACGTCTCTTAATGTATAAAGGTTCAGGACATCAGAAAGCAAAGATTAACGGCAACTGAAATTTGTTGTTTACAGTTTATCCTTAAAAGTGTAAGGACGGAAATGTCTCTCATCCATAGTTATCGGCAATTTTATCAAATATATTAGTTATTGACATTCACAAAACCATAGTAGTCCTACTGTCTTGGGATTGAAAGTTGTTAAATTAGAAACTTATATAATCATCTGCTAGCTTACAGGCTTGTTTTCTTCTGTCTCTCTCACACACACATTATATATATGACAATTTGCATAAATCCGTACAATATAGGTTATCAAACAACTCCAGTAACAAAGAAATATTCAACAATAATAAAGCCAGATATAACAAAGTGCTAGAATGCAGCAACCATAATGTGAAATTGGAGTATGTAGTTTGAAATAACAATAAAGATAAAAATAAGCTAAAACAACACAAATATGACAATATGGTTCCTACCACCGTAATGTCAAAACAAATATATGTAGAATTTTCCTGAATTTAATTCACACAAAAACTTTGATCATTCTCCAACATTAAAAAAAACAAAAACAACATTAACGTAAGCTATAAAATATTTAAAATTCACCATCACAACAAAATGAAGATTTTATTACAGTTATAATAAGTTTATCTTTGTAATTTACCCTTGAGGATGATCTTGGTGGATATTGAAAGTACTTGGGTAAGAAAAAACTATGGAGGCTTCCTTAATGAATTTAATCTTAACATCAAGAAACTGATTAGAAAACTGGAAAGGATCAGTATAAAAATAGACACATGTTTATATTATTCAATGAAATATGATCATTTCTTGCATAGTAACTTGATAAAAATTGTTAACCAAAACTGGAGTTTTGCGATAAAAGTACTTTTGAGTGAAGCAAAATGCTTCCTCTCAATTTACAAACCTGATAAATTGGCAATAACTTTTATTAATAGGTCTTTATCTTGTCTCCAGCTAAAAAATTTAATAAAAAACTAAAAATAATTAAAATTCAATGCGGCTTTAAATTAAAACTAAATCTAATTTTTATAGTGAAGGGATTCCTGCAGAGTCAAGAAAAATTGCTATTTGTGGATATATTGAATAGTTGCTAAGAATATGATTATATTCATACTAAATGACTTTTTCAATCTATTAGCCTCTTTTATGCGATTATTTTTTCTTAAAAGAAAATACGGATTCCAAATGTTTGTATGCTTGAATTTTTTCTGGTTTGAAACCTACATTACCTTCTGAATTTCTCAATAACAATTATAATTTGTTGCTATTTTTTTTTCCTTGAAACATTTTACTTAATTAAATTTTGAGGTCAAAGACTGGGATAACACATGTAATTTTTATAAAAATGTTAATTCATGCTAATTATCTTGAACCCGTTTACTATCACATTAAGACACTGATTCTCATCTGGTTAGTACTCAGACAGATGACCACTGGGAAATACCAGGTGCTGTATGCTACATAACAGGCATAGCAAGCTGCTGATGGCTACAGTCTTGCTATTTATACTAAGATTTCAGTATGTGTAGGTGCTGCTAGACTGACAGATCGCAAGACCTACCTGGAATTGGGTGAGTATATCTTAAACCCATCAGCAGCGAAAGCATCAAAGATTTTATAGTCACTAATAATAAACTAGGTGTGTACAAGTTTCTAAAATTTAAAAAATGTTTTCTACTCTAGTTTTAAAGAAAAAAGGTAGATGCTCTGTTAAAATTACTTTTAAATTCATCAATAGACCCTTTTTGTTTTGCATGTTAATCTAAAATTATTTTTGTTATTCACTTGGTGTTCCATGAACAAATATGAAGATGGAATTGAAAAGGAAAAAAATTTGAAAGGATTAGTAATTTTAAATTAAATATACTTCAGTATTTTTTTTTTTGTTTTTAATTAAAACTTAGTAAATTTTTTTTTTCACACTAATATTTACTATTCTTTATCATTTGAATTATTTTTAATTCAGGATTCTTTAATCTTATTTCTTCCTTTCTTTGTAAAGAAATTCATTCCAAATCACTCTTAGTTTTATCAATTTTTGGGCACTTTGAATATTTAATAAGTTTTCTTTTTATTCTTTTACATATATATAAATCAATCAATCCTTGAAAAACCTTTTTGAGCTGAAAGATTTAGTCATTGATTTGAAGTATCAATGCTAAAGGATTGGAGGCCGAAGAATTAAAGTTGACTATAAAAGCAAAAAGTACAGCATATTATTCAGTTTTATTCCTTGTTTCCCATTTAGGAATGGGTTTCTGGTTCCTTTTGAAGTTAACTTCAACTCTATACTTCTAATATCTTTGCCTAAACTCTGAGATTTTATTTACTATTTACTTTTTATTTTTCCTCAGTAGGAGTAGATAGGTTCACCTTTCATCTGGTTCAAATACCTCTCCAATCTTTTGAACAGGAGTAGAAGTTTATCTCTCATTTCCTGTTTAGAAGAAACCAGAAACCCATTCCTAAAGTCTTTTCATTCCCTTTCACAACCTGTAGCCCCTTGTGTCTTAGTGGCATTATCACCCTGCTTGGGGTAAATTGATTAAAAAAAAAAAATAAAAAAATAATTATTTTTTTTTTTTAAAATAATCCTTAATCCCTTACTCATGAATTAGTAAGTACATATATAGTAGTGAAACAATTTTAATTAAAAGCTACTTGTAGGCATTAAGTCACATATTTAGTTAAACTAACTTATCTATATTAGAAGTATTCATGATGTTTTAAAAGTGTTCAGTATTGCAGTGACATTGTAATCCAAATTGAAGTAAAATCTTGAGTAATCTTTGCATAATCGTCTCTAAAGAGACATGCAAAAGAAAGAAATGATTATGATCTCTTCTGATCATCATTACCAAATTGGCTATGGTTGCAACATCACTTGTAACAGATCATTGCTTCTATGACTATAAGCTTATACATTAGAAGACATGGAGATTGCCAATTAAATATAGACTTGCTTATTTTAAACAATAATCTAAGCCAGTGTTTTCCAGCATGGGCACTAGTTCCCCACTGTGGGCTCTGTCATGTTGAAAGGGGGCACTGGGAGTTTTTATTTCCTTTGGGGGCGGAGGTGGAGGCGCATTTATCTTTCTTTTCTTTTTTTCAAATTTTCAAAAATTATTCAATATTGGCTACAAAAGGAAATTTCTGAAAGGTATCTAAAACTGTGGGAAGCTATCAAACTTTTTTCATTGCTTTTCCTACTTCCTATATGGTTGAATGTGGTTTCAACACAGTAACACAACTTCTTACTAAACAAAGCAACCGCCTGCAAATTAAAAAATGAAGACATCTATGCATTATGGAACCTAGAGTAAGAGGGTTAGCCAGTATGCACCAAACTCAATCATCTCATTGAAAACATTGAGATAAGTTATCAAATAAAAGGGTTTTTTTTTTTTAGCATTTTAATCATTGGCATTTATAATAGAAATGAAAACAATATTAAAATTATTTTTGCACCAATACCTAAATGTTATCTTGCTATGAAAGATAAATTCAGTATTCAAAATTTAATTTGAGAGGGGAACGTTGGCAAAAAGTTTGTGCACAAAGTGGGTGCTGGTTAAAAACAAAAAAGGTTGGGAAACACTGGTCTAAGCCAAATATCTATTTATGCTAACATTTCAGTCTTTATCCTAAAAAATTTATGAACAACCTGTGACAAGCATGAAAATTAAACTGATGCATGAAAGGAATAAAAATAAAACAATTCTCTGTAAAGTAATTGATTTTTTCCCCTGTAAATAAAAAAAAAATTAAAGTATTAAAAAGTAGTTGGAAATTAAAAAAATATTCTTTTTATGTTTTTAATTATTATCATCATGCTGATATTATATATCAATATTTTTTATACCAAGTTAATGATCATCTGTACTTTTTTCTCCATCCAGATTTTGTAAGACATATGTCAAATGTTCGCTAATGATACAGTAGAGATCTCTTGAAATGTTCATCAATATCCGGAAGTTCTCCTTATCTGCAATTACGCCACTTGGTGTAGCCATCACGTCAGACAATGTCTTATGAACTTGACTAATCTTTTGGAAAAGGTCTGGGTTCAATGGCATAGGAAGTGATTTGCATACTTCTGTGAAATTAGACAACCAATCATAATACTCTTGACAGCTAAAGTCTGGTTTTGACACAAAATCAGCAGTGTCTTCAGATTTCTCACTTTCCACCAATGTCTGTGATTCAGTTGCAAGTTCCTCTTTGACAGTCTCCTCATTCTGTTCATAATGAACCTCTAAAAATTGTTGTTGTTCATTGTCTCCCTTGGCATTCTCTATCAATTGTTGAGTGTACTCGCTGTGTTCTGTAGTTGCTTGTTCTTGCCCCTGTTCCATATCTTCCAGACTGACAATTGTTATCACAGTGGCACCATCAGATGTGCTTTCAATAAGCGAAGGAATATCCTCTTCCATGATAGTTGTGATTTGGTTAGGATAACCACTTTCCCCTTCTTGACTGTCTGTAGCTTGGCAGATGGCTGACAGCTGACCTTCATTGCAAGTAGTGATTGAGGCCATTCTGGCTGATTGCATAGCACTGGCAACTACTTGAGCCACAGTCTGAGATTCACTACCATGCTCTTCTATAGTCACAGAGTCAGCTTCCTGGAGAATTACATCTTCTACAGTAACTGGTGTTGCAATGTGGGTCACTTCACTGCCGGTCAGCCCTTCAACAATTTGTGCAATTTTTTTATGATAAGCTGAGGATTTGTCATCAATTGCTATTGAGGATAATTTATCTGCATCTTTGAATGCAAACTGAAGTGTTTGCCCTGGTTGTGTTTGCTTTCCCGTTTGGATATTATCAATATGATTAGAGTGTTTGCTGCTCAGGTGGACCTTTAATTGGCCAGCCCTCTTGAAAGAATCTTTACACAAGTGACAAGAATAAGGCTTCGCTCCCATGTGCTCTTTCACATGTCTACGTTTGCTTGAAGGGTCACTGAATTTTGCATGGCAAATATGGCATGCAAATGGCTTCTTTCCTGGAAAAGAAAAAAAATCAAACATTCTTGAAAATTGACAAGAAATTAATAAATGCATTCACATATTTTCTTTCATCATTGGTCAGCTGTTTATTTGCTTAATCTCCCAATAGATGTGCATATTATGTAGTGCTTATCAGCACAAAAGTGGAATCAGCATGTAGAGTTCAAATTCTAGCAGAGGTTGTTGTATTCACTTTCACACAAATAATCTTGGGAAAGGTATGAATCCATCTCTTCTCCCCTTCAAATATAGATTAAATAGAAGAACATACTAAGCTCTCTACCCTTGGTTGGCAACCAGTCTAGGAAAAGACTATGAATTCAATACCATTGTAAAAAAAAATCCTGCTTTCTATGGAAACCACAACAGCAATACTAGAGTTGTAACCTAGGGAAGGTTATTGAATAAACAAACGCAGGTTGGTAATGAATGATAATACTTAGGACAAGAACAACACATATAAGATTCACCAGCAACACACAGAAGTAGTCAATTAATAGAAATGAGTTAAGTGAACTCCACAATGAATCTCCAACTGCAGACCAATATACAGTATTTACTACTGTATTTATGTGAATGGGGACATACCCATTATTGTCCATAGTTATGCTACAACAACTAGCCTAGTGAAGCCATGGCCCTATATATTCAATATGGATTGATAAAGTCTCTCTCTTTTTCAAATTACAGGAATTCAATAGAAAAACAGTTGTGGTCATGGTTTGTTCATTCCCAGCTTAGTTATATGCTAAGAAATTAATATGGACAAATAAACTTCAATAAAGAGGTAATTGGGTAAATATCTAATTGAATGGATTCTAGTTTTAGTTTTGCTTATATTTTGTCACTCATTTTAATATGCATTTAAACATCTTAGATTATCATTTAACAGGCTTACTACCATATGACACACATGGATATCTTGATCTTCAAAAATTTAAATGCAATGTCAGCATCTGGCTTCTTAATTCCTCTTTTATTGTTCTGGTTCCTTAATAATATTTTTCTTTTTCTTATTCTTTCACACTCAGTAACCTCTTAGGTCTTAGTGGTTTTATTGCTTTGTTTGGGGTGTAATAATTTAAAAAAATATTCAAAATTGCCGTTAACATGTTTGATAAGAATTTGATTAATACAGCATTTCATGAGACTTAATTTAGTCCTTGATGATGTATAAATGTTATTCAAAAAAGTCTTGAGTTTTGAAATTTGAACTCTGTTTGACAATTCCATTTTCTGAACTCATAACATTATACCACTCCCAACATATCCATCCTTCTATATACTATATAGTACAGTGTTTCTCAACTAATGCGCCCTGAAAGGTAGCCAGGTGTGCCTCAAGTTAAAATTCTTAATCTTTAATAAGGGATGGATAATCCTTTTCCTACCTTAAGGGATTTAAATCAGCCATTATCAACTTCTCTAAAAAAAAAAAAAAAAAGTACCAGATTCTTTATAAATACTTTTAAATGAAAACTGTACCACTAATATCATTTTGGAATGTTAATGAGTGTATGTATATCGCATATTTAAAAAAATTGCCAAATCAGATCAAGTGAAGTTTCACACAAGCATACTTAAATATACAATGTAATATCTTAAAAATAAATGCTTATTTTGGAGACTTCTTTATTATTTTCAAATTTCATGACTAATGTTACCTTATTAAAATTTAAAGTGTTCCCCAGAGTTTTAGTTATTCCACAAGTGAGCCCTAAAATAAAAAGGTTAAGAAACACTGGAATAGTATTAAAAAAAAATCTAATGGCATCAGTTACTTCCCTTTCTTAAGTTTATTTTTCCAATATAAATTTTATCTACAAGAGAGTGGGTGGGATGTTGAAAAGTTCACAGCTCAAGTAATAAGGGATTTAAAAAATTCTGATGTTTGATTACATTTTGAGAAGTGGATTGAACTTTTCAGCTTAAATCATTTAAATCGTTTTTTTTTTAATATAATAAAAATCTAAAAGAAATATATAAAAAAAAAAATTGAAGTTTTACTTTTAACTATATGTCCAGCTGAGAAAGCTTAATGCTTTATTCACATAAATCTACCAATGTTATAATTATATCCAAACAATCAACCAGGGCCAGTGAATACTAACCCTGAAGTCTCAATAAACACTATATAAAATTCATTATTTTTTTTTATCTATAGTGTTGAATTATTATTCAACTTTTTAAAAAGAAAAATCTCAATAAATAAAATTTGTATATTATATGAATACTAACTTATGAAAATTGAGTGGCAGGCTCTATATCATAGATTTGGTGGGGGAGAGGCACAAGACCATTTGCTCTGGCATCAACTAACAAAAGGAAAAGCAAATCAGTCCTTGAACAGATTTAAAAATAAAGAAGTCTACTATTTTTTGTTAAAACTTAAATTAGTCTGAGAATTAACTTCAAACTATAAAGGGACTTTTTCTCTGTTACTGACAATAACAACAATGGTACCAATAAGTATAACAGAAAATAGTAGCCGTTTTTATTTTGCATAGAACTACAAAAGCAGGAACTTGTGACACTGTAGGTCTGCAATAATTATTTGACAAATTTCGGTACAATTATTCTTAAAATAAATGTCAAGTAGATTTTTAAAAATTCTTTAGTATGTTTTTCATTTTTAACAAAGTTTTATGATGAAGTGAATTTGAATTTACTGATTATCTTATGGAGTGATTGAGTGATTTCTTTTTGATGGCTTATCAATCTTTTGCTGGTTATTTAAAGCCAGAAAATATTTTTAGATTGTAGGAATTTTTGGGAGATAATAATGATTTACTGATACAAGTTTTACAAATTAACCCATAGTTGGGGGGAAGAGAGGTAGATTCTTAACTTCCCCAAAGGTATTTGAATGTAAGTGACTATAACAAACCCAGTTGGAATTGGAACTCGGATCTCCATTTGCAAGCCATTATTCATTACACCAACCACACATCCAAGCTTACAGCACTTGGTATTCTCAATCTTTCACCCATCTAGGTACTGACCAGATTCAACATTGCTTAACTTTGAAACACTGATTTGGGTATGATCACCAATGTGATATGACCATAAAGCCTGCTTATCTGCTAAAGCTTGAAACAAAAAAGTTTCTCAACGTATAGGTGATTTGTTTGTCTATTCCTAATGCTTGCTTTTTCTTGTTTTTCCTACTCAACAAAGTAAGGATAGAAAAAATAATTAATGTTAATGCAATCCTAAATCATCTGTTGTAGCTTTACAAACTATTATGAATGCAGGACTATAACAATGAAAATCTATATTAAAAGTTAAAAGTACCAGTTTTCAACAACATCCTTCATCCAAGGTTACCTTAAAAAAGAAAAAAATGCTCTATATAGCATTATTATATCCCTCTTAACTCCCTAGTTACAACTGAATTTTTTTCACCATCAAGTTACTGATTTGGTTTTCAACTTTGATAAACTTCAAGTATATTATTTTGCAGTTATCAGATTTAAATCTACTCAAAGTTGACCACTATGATAATAATAATAATATTTACCTGTGTGGATAATTTTGTGTCTGATCAAATCTGATTGATGAGCAAATCCTCGCTTGCAATGATCACACACAAAAGGTTTCTCTCCTGAAACATACAATATTTAAAACAATTTCAGTGTAAGTACAAATATCTTATAATTTTTTAAAAGTATTTGCAGTAATATGTAAATGAGGTACTGTATAAAAAGCAGTATCGCTATATCTACAGGAGAGTTATCTACATATGTCAGAGTGAATACCTATTATAAAAATATGGCATTGCCGATTGGTTACTTAACCACAATGGAGGATTTAGAATATGCAGAAAACCTGGCTTAGGTGTTTCGCCATGATGGCAAGAGTAAAAAAATTAAAGGACAGCAAAGTTAGTGGAGGAGAAAATGAAGTTACAGATTTGTTTTTGGCCTCAGCTGGGTGTGAGGCTATAAAAAAAAAAAAAAAAAAAAAATCTCCGTCATGGTCTATCTCAAAGTGTTGGAAGATTTAGCTTATGAAGAAATTGCTGCCATCATAAAAGCAAATATACGCCCCCCCCAAAAAAAGACTGGTCAGAGCGGAAAGAACTAAATTTTCTCGAAAGTAGACAGCCCAGACAAAACTATTATACAATATGTACAGCAAATGAAAGAAATGTAGAGATATTTTGAGCTTGAAAGAATGAGTTTGGAACAAATGTCTATTGAAGACAAGCTAACTTTGTTAAGATGATTGTAGGGAAAAGTGAAAAATATAGATCCTCTGATTGGAAGTATTTGAGATAAAAGTAGGGAAATGGTGAAGTTGAAAAGAGTAACTTTACTCATGGAGGTGGATACTGGAAATTGTGTTACAGTCATACTGAGGAATTTTTGGGAGTAGGAGGAAAAAAAAAAAAGAGTAGACCAAAGTTTAAAAAAAAAAAGTAACCTCCAGTTGAAACAGTTCGATAGATCAATAATCAAAATTTTAGGATGCTTTGCAGGCATGTTTGAGACAAAAAACAGAGTTGAGATAATATCCATCACAGTGGTGGAAAACATCATAAGCCATGGTCTTTTAGGAATTGACATAAGAGTGGATACATTGAAACTTACAAATTCCATGAAGTCTGTAGAACTGGATGTTGGATTATTAAGAGGACATGAGGCTTAAAGAAAGCAGTCAACCCATGTATTTCCAAGCCCGAAAAGTTCCTGTTTGCATGCTACCCTTGGTGGTTGCTAAGCTGAACAAAATGGTGGAACAAGGAATATTAGAAAAAGTCAGCCAGGGTGTTAGCAGCTGGACTTCACCCATTGTGGCAATATGCAAACCCAATGGAGATTTAAAAATTTGTGGCAATTATAAGGTGAGCACGAATCACCATATCTGTTCAGATTCATTCCCATTGCCAAACATTGAAACTGTATGCCATGAGCTTGCCAGTATGAAATACATTGTTAAAGTTGACCTTAAGTCAGCATATAATCAGATAAAAACTGATAACAAGTTTCAAGAAGTCACCACAATGTACACCCCTATTGGATTAATGAGATGGACTTGTCTGTCGTTTGAAGTAAAAACATCAATCACATTTTCCAAAAAGTAATCCAAAAAGTTTTAGCAGAAGATTAAAAATAATTGAAAATAAGGACAACATTCACATTGGTGTGTGCAGTAAAGAGGGGTTCAAAAGTAAAATGGAGCAAGTTTTGAGAAAATTAAATAGCAAGTTTAATTGTGAAAAAATTCTATACCTAGGATATCAAATATCCAAAGATGGTATATCGCTGAAAGATAAACTCATTAATAAGATATCAGAGATAGCTGTACCCCAAAATAAAGAAAATCTTTTTTTAAGATTAACCAGCTTCTATAACAGATATCTACTATAATATAGTGATCTTGTGGAACCATTTAATGAAATAAAGAAGAAGAATACCAAGTCTCAATGGATGAAAAGACATGAGGTTGCTTTTGAGTAATTAAAAAAGGCACTCATAAACAAACCAGTTGTTAAAATTTTTGACCCAGCAAAAGAACTGACATTAACTACTGATGTTAGTAACTGTGCTATAGCTGCAATATTGTCACAGGAGGATCACTCTGTAATTTACTTATCCAGAAAACTAACATCAGCAGGGGTGAATCATTCGAATATGGAGAAGGAGGCATTGGCAGTTGTGTGGAGCACAGAAAGAGCTAGGGAATTTCTATTAAAATCTGATTATAAGACTTTGAAATTTATATTCAACACCAGAAGAGAGTTGCCAAAGGTCACATCTGCCAGGATATTAAGATGGGCAATTAAGCTTATGGCATTTGACTTAAACATCATGTATATTAAAGCAAATATTCCACATGAGAATGCATTATCTCAGTTAAATTTTGAGCGTAAAAATGTTGAAGCAAGTGAAAATTTACCCTTAAATCGACTTAAGTTGGGAACTGGGTAGGATCCTGTGTTGAATAGAATTATAAATAGAATAAAGAGAAGTACATGGAGTAATTTACTCTATAGCTGAGAGGCCTTGTCAAGAGGTCAAGAGATAAATTTAAAATAGAAAAAGGAATTATATGTAATGGAGATATCATAGTACCTCCATAGTCTCTGAGAAAAGAAGTAAATAAAGGCTTGCATGATGATATACATGGAGGTATATTGGCTACACAAATGAGGTTAAAGTTGCAAGCATAGTGGCCAGACTATTTGAGTGATGTGGAAGAGTATGTTAAAAAATGCCCAAAATGTGCAAAAATAAAGAAATTTAGGCTAACTAAAATTCACTTTTGGTCAAAGGAAATGGAGCCAAGGACACAAGTACATATAGATCATACCTACATTAAAAGTATAGGACTAATTCTGATATTAGCCAACTCGTATTCAGGTTGGCCTGAAGTTATTAAAAGTCACAGATAGAAAAGCCACTACTGTGAAGCAGGTGTTGAGGATAGTGTTTCTGTGAAATTGGGTTTCTCTGACAATGCACCTGAGTTTTGTGATGAAAATTTATGTGCATGGTTAAAATGTATTGGCTGCATTCCATACAAAACACTACCTTACCACTCAGTCAAATGGAATTGCAGAGAGAATGGTTCAATCAGTAAAAATGGAATTAAAAGCATTCTATCCAGTGGATTGTGATATAGAGAGTTATTTATCCAGACTATCCCTAAGTTATAGAGCTATTCTGCATGCAGGCAGAAGACAAAAGCCCATCTGCATTGATGGGAAGACAAATAAGAGCTCTGATTACTATGCCATTTGCAACAAATGAAAGTATGTGGTACAAGGATTCAAACCCTGAAAAAGTGAATTTTGTGAGGCAAAAGGGATTTAACACAACAGTGTTAACAAAGAATGGACAGTACATACTGGCCCAAGAAGACCAATTTAGAACCACAAGAGAACATGAAGTTATGGAAAAGGAGGAGGAAGAGAAAGCAGAACAGACAACGCAAGAAAGGATGAATGAATCCAGTATTGAGAGTGATCAGGAAGACTACCAGAGATATGAACTTGAAGACCAGGAGAGGGAGGAGAGAACGAGTGTATCCAGCAGTAGTGAGGAACAATCTGGGAATGAGAGTGACCAGCGATATCAGGATGATTCAAATAAGAATCAGTTAAGACCGAGATCTCCTATAAAAAGAAATAAAGAGAGAATCTGAGAGATGATGATGTTTCCCAGGGTTGTTCGTAGAAATCAAAGATCAACTAAAGGTATAAATCCTCAGGATGTTCAGGGAAGTGTAGTGATATGCAAATGAGGTACTGCATAATAGGAGAGTTATCTTCTCATGAGGAGACTACACCTGTCAGAGAGAATACCTATCATAACAGTCTTGCTATTCAATAATTTTTTTCTTTAAATTTCTTTCTAATCTAAACAATGCTACAAGAGTGCATCAACCAATATCTATCCAATGGAAAATTGAATCATTGAAAAAAGTCTTTGCCTATGATCACAGCAATGATGGAATGGCGGAAGAGATGTCTTACTGGCATTTACTAAGATTAGCTTAGTGCAGTAGAAAGTCAAATAGAAAGGAAAACATTGTTTTGTGCCAATTTTCAAAATGGGGAGAGTTCACTTGTTTATCTTGGAGATCTGAATTTGAAACCCTGACCTCCAACACTAGTGAGAAATGTATAACTATCTCAGCCAAGAAGCAGATTTTGAAATAGGATTGAATTTGGTTAGTGTGGATTAATTCACCAGATATAGGATTCAGAAGCTTTAAAAAAAAAAAAAAAAAAAAAAAAAAAAAGCCAGGGGTATACTGTGCTGAAAATATAAAATTAATAACCAATACAACAGGGATTTTTTTTTACATTAAAAAGAGTAGTGAATAAAGACAGCATGACATTAACTTGCTTCTCATTGTTTGGTTTGGTTAGTCATAAGCAACTTTCTGTGTAAATAAAGAAGAAAGTAATATCATTTCACAAGAAAATAAATATGTATGTAGGCAGAGTCTAGTGATAGGAACACTGGTCAGTATAATTACAAACCATTACTAATTAATTCAATCCTCATCGAGTAGTCTAGAAATGTTTTATGATAAAAGTGCTTCTGTGTATAATTATGATACACTAAAAGGCACAAATCTTGATGTCATCATTTTCTTAAAAGAAAAACCTTGCAAGTAGAGGTAAGTTTAAAACAGAATTGTAAGTTTCAACTATAGAATTTTGGCAACATCCACAAAAAAACAGAATTTCAGAAGGATGTCTTTCTCCTATTGAAAATTATTTATTGTCAGCCAAGTGCTGCTGATGAAGAAATCTTTAATGAAGAGTGTACATTAAGCACTTTGAAAGAAATTGATGAATTATGTTTTTTGGAATGGTTGGCAAAACATCAGCTAGTTGTCAATCGATTCCAACTTTATAAAATGGTAAATAATAATGTTTCATTATAGTTGGTACACATATATTTATAATTTAGTAAATTTTTATAAATTTATGAATAAAATTTTTTTTTCATATTTATTTCTTTAAAAATTGATAAATGATAAACATTATATTGTATTTGTTTGTTCACATTTTTAGAATGTTGTAAATATAAAATGATTCTTGTAAATAAACACTAATAAATAAATAGGGCTTAACATTTTTGTTGTAAATTCTCAACAAAGAAAACATATAAATTCACTTTCATATATTTGGGTTTTATTAAAATTCTCATCATTACTTTTTAAAACGAAGATTACCAAGGAGTGAAGGTAGTTAAAATAATAACGATGTCAAGGGAAAAAACCCATCTTTTGACACACCATTTTGTGGGATAAACGTTAAACTTTGTCAGAACTTAATTCTCAGTGATAGGCTAGTTATGCTATAATGATATGCACTTTATTTTTAAAAAAATGCTTTTTTTTTTCATAATAACAATCCTTTTTAATTAACTTCCATTGCAGTAGTTTTCATTCTGGTATGATGCATTTTAAAATTCTATAAATGAAGAGTATTATAGCTTTGCAATTTGGAGTACCTTTCTTTAATCACTTGCTTCAGGCACCAGTAAGCATCTAGGCAATAGGCAAAGCCTTGACATCTCTTCCACTTTATACTTTTAAAATTTGTGATACAATGTTGTAACAAACCAGAATGGAGTCTAAAACTTACCTGTATGAACTTTGGAATGAGATTTCAGGTAGACCATCTGGGAAAACCTCTGCCCACAGCTGATGCATTCAAAGGGTTTTTCTGTGGAATGTGTGATAAGATGTCTCCGCAAACAACTAATCTGCCGGAATGGCACATAGCATATGTGGCAAACATGGGGTTTGGTATTAGTGTGAATTGCCATATGTTCTTGCAGACTTACTTTGCTTGAAAATTTATTTTCACACACTTCACAGGCAAAAGGCTTGATTCCTGAAAGGAAAATTCCAAAGAAACACTTAAAAAAATCAATGCTTGAAAACAGAGAAGTGATAACACTTTGATGTGTTACCGTCTGTTTCAGTGAAATGTAAAAAGTTTTCAATTCCAAATTATTTTTAAATTGTACCCACTTACTTCTTTAAATATCAATCAGCATTCATATTTATGATTGTTATATCAATATTTTGTAAAAGTTATAAGCATCTAACAATGTGATAGGGGAATTTCTACAGATATTTTTATTGTCATGGAACTCACCATGAGCTTATTTCAAACATTAACTTTATAATTAAGATTCATCAGAAAATTCAAATCTGAAATCCATGAAATTTTCACAGATATTACTAGTTGAAATTATTTGAATTAAACAAATTGCTGCTAATTAGTATTTTAGATGATTATTACTTTCATTTTATTTCTGTTCTGTGTTATTGAACTCTCAAATCATCATTGAAAAGAAAGAATAAACCTTTAACAAGATTCAAACTCCTATTTTCTTCATGATGTTTGTTTGTGCAGGGATTATTATCTATTTTTGATCTATAGAGCTCTTAACCAACTGTTGTAAAGTGACAGTAAGAATTGCAATAGGAATAGGATGAAAGAAAGACTAGTCAAAAATTAATCATTCTTCAAAACTTGTAATATTTACTGGGCTTCAGTTTTTACTCTTTTTATAATTTTTTAAATGTCTTTATTAAATAAACTCCATTTCAGTGTTAATTGATTTTCTTTAAATATAATGAAAAATATTTTGGAGTTCACTTAAGCAGTGACAGTTATTCAGCTCCCAGAACCATCATTGACTACATCCGGCGGTAGCAAGGCTTCTGATTGGGAGATTGGAGGTTTTGAGTAGTGTGGAACCACCTTTTAATTTCTGTTGTTCCCAGGTCCACCCTGACTCAGTGTGGTAGCACCTGTAAGAGCCCCAGTATGGTAAATAGTGAACCCCCAAACAAAAACCAAACACTATGAAAGTATAAAAATACATTTTTATAGTAAAATTGACAACAATATCTATTTATAGTAAAATTACAATTTTATAGCAAAATGACCAACAATTCATTTTATCTGTAGTTGAAAGCATGCAACTGAGTTCAAAATATATTTAGTTGGAGCCATAAAATTGTGATCAAAATATTTAGATTTTGGCATTAAATAACCCATAGAAATGTTGATATGCCACTAAACAAAATCAACCATCTAACCAGAAAATCATCATTAAGCTTAGTTAATTGGATTGCAAGTATAATAAAAAAAAAAAAAAAAAAGAAAAAAAAAGCCAAGCTAAAAAAGAGTAAATAAATAAATTGGGGATAACTATGAATTTCAATCAAGACAGTGGAAATAATTTTTTCTAAAATGTCAGGTAATCAAACTGTCTTTCACAAAGAGACTTTCCATCTTATTCCAAGTTAGAAACAGAACAAAACGTAAATTAAAGATGTATTGTTCCCTTTAATATAAGAAAAAAAAAAGACATGTTGTTATTCTCCTCAGAAATAGTTGCGTTGTTACTCTCCTTAGAAAGAGAAAAATGTTTATTCACATTCACTAAAATCATGTATTATTTTCTGAGTTGCTTAAAAACAAGAAAGTTTTTATTTCCCTTTTTAGTTAGCTTACAAATATGTAATTCAGTGTATATTGCAAAAAAATCAAACTTACCAAGATGTGTGAGATTATGCTGCCTTAAACTTTCATTATTGCAAAATCGTTTGGAACAGCCTTTGACTGAACAAAGGAATGGTTTTTCACCAGTGTGAACTCTCATGTGGACTTTCAGATTACCTATAACAAAAGTAAATAAAATCAATAAAATAATTCTGGAAATTAGGATAGTTTTACCCAACTTCATTTAAAAATTTAATATCATAAAAAATAAAAATTCACAAAAAATTAATTTTAATGGTAAAACAAGTAAAAGGTTTTAATTTAAAATAGCTTCATTCTGACAATGTTATTTACAATTTGTTTGAAGTGGCAATTTTTTTTCACTTATGTCTCTTTGATATAATTTTTAAAATTACTTAGTACAACTTTAAAACATTATGTCAGGTTAAAGAAACATTTTGTGAATAATATTAATATCTATTTTAAAAACTGTTCCCTTATATATTATGTGTACTAACCCTTTTGTGTGAAAGTGTGTTGGCAAATTTTACAAGTATAACTATTTTTGCCAGAAGAGTTTGAAGGGGAAGATTTTTTGGTTCTTTTTTCTGAGGTAGGAGTTGATTCTGTTGAAGTCATTACTTGAGCAATAGAGCCATTCTGTGGCAGTTCCTCAACACTTTTCTCAGGTTGTGTGTTTGTTGAAGCTGTGTTATCTGTAGATTCTGGAAAATAAAATTATTTTATTGACTGTAATTGATCATGGAAAAAAATTCAAATATATAGTCACTATTAAATATTATGGTTAACTATAACTTCATATTCAAAATAAAGTCACTTCACTATTGTGATTACCTAGGTTGGTTAGATTTTAAACTTGCAGACTAAAATTGAAGAGGAATTAGCCTGGACATCAATTTCAATCCCAATCTATTTAGAGTTCGCCACAGAATTTGGTGGCTGTTCAACAATTTTCTCAACTTTATTTTCTGATTTCTGACATTTAGAATGTATAGGAGAAACACTATTTTGCAAGATTGAAATAGCTATCAATGTTTCAGCAGTGATACCTTCATCTGATTGCATATCTGAATCTTGCACAGACACAAGGCCAGTATTTTCATTGTTCTTAACAACAGCAATGTAGGTTTCCTCTGAATTGGATTTTGTTTTGCTAACAGTTTTTTCACTTTCTTCTAAATTGCTATTTTCCTCTAGAGAAACAGCAGATTCACCTTCATTGGTCACATCCTGCAGAGACCACTGGGAAAGATGATGGCTCCACAGAGCCATGGCTTTTTAAAAACAATTGAAGAGGAATTAGTTTGGGAGGAATTCTCACAGGTTGAGCTTTCTGATGATATTTTGGCCTCTAGATTTTCAGTTTCTACAATTTGGCACTCAGCACCAGTTGGAGTTGAATCAGTGACTAGAATTATATTGGTGCACTCAAATGGTTTCGGCTCTGATTCTATAGTGGTCGTAACAACACTTTCATTTACATTTATTTCCTCCTGTGAAAGATGATTTTGTTGCACAATAACAGGATTACCATCATTTTCTTGTGCAAGAGCAATCAGAGAAACATCACTTTCAGATGTTGCTGATGGACACATATCAACTTGTTTGGTGACCACTTTGAAAGTTTGACCTTCCTTATGATAGCTCTCATCACTCAATAAATTCTCAACAGTTTTATTCATTGTCTGCACCTCAAACTCCATCAGCCGTTCTTTTGGAGTATTAATTGAATCACTATGATGTTGATATTCTTGGTTACTGGAGCAATCATCTTCTGTCACCATTTCAATTATCGGTGCCATATCTGAAGGCAGATTCAGTGATGTAGGTGCAGCAACTACCTGCTTGCTGTTGCTGCCACTATTGCTGCACATAGCATCTTTTGATGGCGTAGAAAGTGTCAGCACTTGGCCATCAACTTTCTCTGTCACATTTTCCATCTCCAAAAATATGTACATAATTACATAACTAGACAAATAGAAATCATAAGCAGCAAACAATTAACTTTGTTATTTACACTATTTACATTGTTTGGACTGTTGTCTTCATCTTCACAATGTTTCAGGCATTGTACACTCCAGCCTTCTTCAGGTGATTGGAATTTCGAACTGAAACTTTTATTTTGGCCACCAGAGTAGATTGTTCTAGTTCTACATGCCATGCCTCTTCCGAATATTGCAGTATCAGTTATTTCACTTTAACTAAACTCTCCAAGTTTCTGTTCACCTCAGCTGTAGCCAGGTATTGAACTCACAACACTTTGGATCAAAAGTCACTGGATTCAATCCACTGAGCCATGTTCCAATCACCTGAAGAAGGCCGGAGCATACAATGGCCAAAATGTTGTGAATATGGCAACAAAGATAAGGACAACAGTTCAAACAATGTAAATAGTGTAAATAATTACAATACCTCATATCAGAAATATAGACAGATACTTAACTTTGTTGCTTGAAGGTTTTTGCTTATTTAATTATTATTAGAGAAAATAAACAATAAAGGAAATTATTACTAGTTTTAATACTTCTGTAAGGATTGTCTATAACAAAAATCTATTAAAAGCATTTATTCTCACTTATATTTAATGAGAAAATTATGTCAATAAATCAGTTTTACATGATTCTCAATAAAAGCCAATAATATTAACTTCAAACCTAAAAGACAAATTAATGATTTGTTGTAAATGATTGTTATTTGGTAGAAATAAATTTTTTTTGACAGTGCAGGTTGCTAAATTGGGACTTTACATTTATTTAAATAAACAAGAGAAGCAAAGAATACTCTGACTGCTTTTCAAACAACTGACAATATATCTCCTTAGTCAAACTTACTTCAGTTTGTATCTTATATAGTTTCCTTCAGAAACATTAGTCAGAATTCATTCAAGTAATATAAAAGCTAATTTTAAAAAATTGTTTTTCATGATTTTCAGATTCCTAACAGAAGCAAACACACACACACACACACATATATATAAAAAGAAGTAATAAATTTTTTATTTATTAATCCAACATATTTTTATCACTTAAAACACTATTTTTAGTGGATACTCATATTCGAGTTGACACTTTGTTTAATTATTTAATAAATAAATGGAGTATCTACCCAAATATGAGTCTCCATTAAAATAATGTTTAAAGTGATTGATATATATATATATATATATATAAGCTCTATCTCTGATATTGAGCGCTTTCTAATAAGTACAGCGCATATATATATATATATATATATATATATATATATATATATATATATATAGTTGAGTAGTGGGTAGCAGCTCGGACTGAGGACTCGGAGAGCAGAGTTCGAATTCCAGTTGTATACATTACATTCACTTACGTGCTAATACCCTTGGGAAATGTATGAATCCTTTCCTTCTCCCTCCAATTATGGGTAATTAGCAGAACAGACTGGGTTTTATAGCCTTGGATGGCAACTGATCTAGGAGAAGGATAACTTTGAATTCAAAACCTGTGGAAGATTGTTTAGGGACCTTGTGGCACATAATGCACCAAGTCTCTGTATTCACAAAGCCATCACCACTATAATCAAATCATATGTGATGGTGTCTGGCTGTCAGTTCCTAGGGATTGAGTTGCTGACCCTTATACATTGAATACGGCTGATGAGTCCACCATATATATATATATATATATATATATATATATATATATATATGATAAATCAGGCAAAGTGGAAAACAAACTGTTTTAGTTGACTGCATGTTATTGCCTTTGTTAAATAAACTTCTTTGGGGAAGAATGAAAGAAATGTGTGTGCATTTTAATATTAAAATTAACACACACACACTTCTTTCATTCTAACTCAAAGTTTATCTAACAAAGGCAATAACATGTAGTTAATTGAAAGTTTTCCACTTTGCCTTATTTATCAAGAATTTTTTTCTGAATTCTGTATCCTATTCATGCATGCATGTGTGTACATAAATTATTTTCAGATAGAGTAAAGGAATAAAATGAATAAAAAGAGACAAAAGGAAAAACTATTCTTAGCCGACATGTTTTGTCCTGAGAAGGAATTTATCAAGCCAAGGGACTTTAATGAAGTCCCTCCAAAGATGAACATGTTGTCTAAGAATAGTTTTCCTTTTGTCTCTTTTTATATGTGTGTGTGTGTGTGTGTGTGTGTGTAAAATATATAATTATTAACATAGTCCAAATAAATTAACAGCTAACCTCTAAGTCTAGATTATAATTTCCATTTGTTATACAACACAGTTAATATTATAGTTTATTTAAAGAACTAATGAAAATAGGTAAATTTTCTGTTATAAATTCAATCAAGGATGTTTTTCTGTTAAACAGTTGTTAGGAAGTTAGTCTCAAAAAGCGTTACTGTAGTGTGGTTGATTTTTATTGGATCCTTCATACTTGTAGCCAGACTAAATTTAGTAAAAAACTGTGTAATACAATCAGATTACCATTAAAATAGTACCACTGTTTGATTCTAGATTATGTGCTTAAAGTTTCAACATGAGATAATTGAAATTGATGAATCCGTTCAAACAGATTGATACTGATTCTCATACATTGCCCACATTTTAAGGTTTAAAGAAAATAGTGATAAATTATCTTGTATTTTATACCAAGTAAATTAAATCTGATAAACGGTAAATTTAACTCCATGTAAATATGCCATAAAATTGGCAATATATTTGATATCTGAATAAAAATGATAAAAGGTGCTTTTGGTTAACCAAGCAACTCTTACTATTTTACAAATATTTTTCTTTTCTACAAGAGGAGTTACAAAGTTGTCCCATTTTCATTTTCTCTCAACTTTTATATTATTGCTTACTTTTCTAACTTTCTTAACATTTACATGTTAAACATGCATGCATTGATATAGTGCTTTTGAAATATAAAGATTATACATATATATAACATAAAATCTCTTGCTGAATTGAAATAAATTTGTATATTCAGTTTTAAAATGCATTTTTTTTTTCTAGTCTTTTGAGATCTTCATAGGTAGTTATTTTGTTAATGGCTTTCATTATTAGATTGTTTAGTTATTTGAATAAAGCCACCTTCTACCTTGAAAATCGAAATCACTTTAGTATTTATATTATCACTTGGAAGTAAAGGGAAGAAAGCAATGTTTATATATTTCTAATAGTATAGTCTGAAAATCTAATATTATAAATTTATCATTTTGTTTTAGATTTATAAATATTATAAATTATACTATAACATACCATATATAAATATTATAAATTATACTATAACATACCATATATGGTATGTTATGGTATCTTATTATAATTAATATCAGATTTCATGGTGGTCATTAATGGGTTAAGTAAACATCACAAAAAGAATTGTGCAAGTTAGGTGAAGAAGATGAAAATTGATTTCTCTTATCATTAGTGATAAATGTAGAGCTACATTGGATGGACTTGATAGTTGGTCAGAAAGTTGGGTCCTTCATGGTGGTAGGCAACCAATACAACTGTAATGAGGTCCCTGCAAAGTTGATCACGATATAAATGCAGAGAAATTTTATTATATCTTCTTGGGCAATAGGTTTTTTTTGAGGAATAAAGGCCACAACTAAGAAGCTTTAAAAAGTTGATTGTTTGATTTGATATTTTTTTATGCTTTATCAACCTTTTGTAGGTTATTTAAAGCTGAAACATATTTTGGGATTGTAAGAATTTTTTTACATTATTCGGACTATT